TTTATGCAAGATTCGCTGGTACATCGTTCGATTCGCTGGTACAAGTTCGAATCGCTGGTGCATCGTTCGATTCGCTGGCGATTCGCTAGCGATTCGCTAGCGATTCGCTCGATTCGCAAAGTATGACGTCGGCTTAAGCGAGAGCTGTGGGCTCGAGTCCCTTTGAGAGAATTTTTATTCATACCCAGTATTCTTGTAAAAAAAATAAGCAGTAAATGTTTATCGAGTCACGAGCAAATCCCAAAGGCATTTCTGATATAGCCTACAAATGGAATGCGCCTTGAATCCTACAAAATCTTATTCGAAGTCGATGCACAATTACTCACTTCAAACAGCGATAAATTTCGCACATTGAAATGAGTCAAAGAGCCGAACGATGATCAACCGAGCCAAAGACGTGAATTGAGGAGTCAAATCAAGGAAGAGAGAGAAGCCCTCTAATGGGTCATTGCAGCCCTTATGGTGACTCGCTGGCGCAGTTTTCTGGAACGCCAGGCGAACCCAACCGCGTGCTTTTTTGCCGCGCTGCACCAGCAACCCTTACATTCCAAAGAATTTGCATAACAAATTTCATGTATAACAGAAAAATCGCGTACAGCTTTCAGAAAATGTGTTAATCATTTATTTTTTGAAACCCTTGGGGAACTGTGTCGTCTCTATTCATGACTTCCCCAGTTGCAGATCGCTGAAGTAGAAATTGACAAGGTGTGCGTGTGAGGAGTGGATATGGTGTCAGTTCCAGCTTCTCATTTACACAATTCCACTATAAATCACACCTTGTTTAGGTTTTGACAATGGGAATAGTTAAAGCAGTTTCGGAACAGGAAAACACTTCGAATCATATTCTGGGAGATCCAGAGGATATGGATAAGGAGTTCGAAGTAATCACTTATAACGGGGTAATGTTCGCAACGTAATATCCTGCATTTAAAAGTTCACTGAGAAGAATGCATTTTATCAGGTATCAGACGACATGGCTTCATCAACGACGTTCGTGGAAGGCGTCAAAGTAATGGTTGTTGGCAAGTTACGCTCTTTGAGTGACAGACATGGTAAGCTTACCATTAGTCTTGAGGTCATGCTTAGTGGAGCCGTCAATTTCGTGAGGTCCCTTTTCTTAGTATAAGCATTCTGTTTAGGTATCATGTCGTACAGCATTAGGGAAGTCATTGATGACAAAGAATATCGTGCATTCAAACTTGAAGCGAGGATTGCGAAGCTGTATTTTGAAAAGGTATAGTTTTTTTTAGCAGTGAATACTGCTCGGCTTAATTTCATATTTGCAACTGGACAAGTTTGGATTATTGCAAAAGTGTGGTTGCTGACCGGTAATGAAAAGAGCCAAAGAGTGTCAAAAACCCTCACTGCGCGCTGGATCTGTTGGCGGGATTTGGGTCGCCCCTATTTTCTTATTGGCCGGCAGCCCTAATACGCTATCGATAATTCTAACAAACAGAGACATAGAAACACGAGCAAACGCGCTCTCACAGTCCGCAAGCTGTATTGAAGTCTTTGCCTTCTCGCGTTTCTGTTGGAATAATTGCCCAAGTGTTTTTATTTACGGACATCCACGCTTTTTCAGTAGGGGTATTGACAATTTTTTGTTGCTCAAAGGTTTACTGTTTTCAAGAATGTGCCGTCTATTTTGCGCTCTGGTATGGGTCAGAGTCTTGCTGGCTGCGCAGCTGGACCTCCTGCAGATGCAACTCCTGCTGCTGCACAAGGAGAAGTATGTTGTTTGTACTATAAAGTCAGAGTCACTATTAGTAGGGCCACTTTCAGAACGACTAAGTAGATCTGATGGTGAGATCTGCCTTTTTCCATTTTAGGTGATGAATGTCTTTGGCACACAGCCAGCCCGATTATACGGATCCACATCCGCAGTCGCGCAATCTTTTTCGCGTGGGCATAATTTGGATGGTCAAAGAGGCAAGGTGAGCCATGACTTCGTTCTGTTACGTACAACGAGGCTCCAAGTTCTGCATTCGTACGGAACTTCACGGAATGCTTCCTTTTTTGAGGTCAAGGCACATACAGCCCCGGTACGTCCGTGTACGCTAGTATAGAGTTCCCAGCTTTCATGTCCACTAGCAGTCTCCCGCTGACAATGAGATACCTTCAAATGAGAATTGCACAGCAAAACCGACACATCCTACTATGGTCTTATTGGATTCACTCAGTTTGTAAGATAACTAAGTTGAGCGCTGCAGCTCAAACCAACATATGGGCTGGCGCGATTTTGCATCATGGAGTGTACTACATAGTAATTTCGTGTTGCACTTTTGGTTCACTTTCATAGTTCCACATTATTTATCAGAAGATGAGGATGATTGAAATGAGATGCGCCTCCAATTTGTAAGGCCGATGTCAGGCTTTGCGAATCGAGCGATTCGCTAGCGAATCGCTGGATCCGAGCGTTGCACCAGCGAATCGAGCGTTGCACCAGCGAATCGAACTTGTGCCAGCGGATCGAACGATGTACCAGCGAATCGAACGATGTACCAGCGGATCGAACGATGTACCAGCGACTCGACAATGTTTGAAGTCTCGGGACTCTTTTCCGTTTGCACGTTGACTCTCGAGCTCGCATACCCCCTCACTATTCATTCGATCCGCTGGCACATAGTTCGATTCGCTGGTGCAACGCTCGTATTCCGCGATTCGCTGGATTCGCAGTTTGGCCTAAAGCCAACAACATCGTACTCGTAACGAAACGCTCGTCAAATGGGGAGCGCTTTGAAGGGCGAATGTCCTGTGCTCAGAGGTGCCATATGGCTCTTTCCCCCATAGCGTGTCTTCACATTGAAGCAGGATTCCACGATAAGTAACGAAGGTCGAAGAAGGAGAAATTTACCTAGTGGAGGGACAGGCGGAACCCATAAGGGTGCGGACCAACATACAATTCGCATCAAAGGATATGCCTCATGGCATTTGTATTAGTGCAGTTGGCTCGCCGCAGGTCTATACGTGGCGAGTGATTAGATAGCAGAGAGAGCGTAGTGTTGAAGAGGGCACAGCGATGAGAGTCGCATCAATGCGAAATCAACGGGCAAGGAAGGGGTCCCATTTCTCGGGTTTCTGGCCGTTTCACATGGTTTCTTCTTCATCCCTGCTCCACTACCACCTCTACCCTTATTTCCAATAAGCTACCTTTTCATTGTAAAATCTGCTCAAGCATAGCGCCGCCAGAAAAAACACAGCGGTAATTATTGGAGATTGTGGCGATGCCGAGTTGACTGGAGGGGGGTTATGAAAAAATGTCCCAAGACCGTCGATGAAGCTTTAGCAAAGGATCCCTATAAAATAAGTAAGTGACAGAGCAAACGAGTTGGTCGAACCTGCCTGCTCCACGCCTCAACTAACTCACCACTATTTGCACTAACGGCTACGCCGTAGTCCTTTTCGCCTGTTATTGGGTGTGCGCAACGTAATTCGTCCAAAATGCAAAGATTAGTGGCCAAAATTCACTTTAGGCCGTAGCGCTGTTGTCGCGCACTTTCGAGCCGCGACAACGGCACATCGGACACACGTAGGTTATTCCAACTACTGAGTGGATTCTACGATACAACTTCTGTCGGAAGTGTTGCTTTAACATCTGTCTGCCGTGTAAGCTGATTGTTTCTACCAATGGAGTTTATTTACGTTTCCTAATAAAAATTTAACCGCTGCTGGTTAAGTTTTTTTATATTGCCCGCATACCAGGACCATATTAAGGAAATAATAATGATAAGGCTGGGACTTTCATGACTGGCTTGCTATGGCCATTTGAATGGAACTTGCTATTTGCGCAACTTGCATTAAGGCAATAGACAGGAGTATATGGGAAGTGTACGGAGAATACTGACAAAATATACTTCCCAGTTTTTTGGTCATTTTATATAACTGATCAAGAGTGTAAGAAAAGAAAAAATGATAGGATGGTAGGATGTAGTGTTGATTATGTAGGGCCTTACACTGGAGATAAGTAATCTGATGGCAGAATTCTTGAAAAAAATCTAAACGCTATCTCGAACCCGTTGTGTTCAGTACAAAATTTATGATTGGTTAGTTTGTTCATTGTTCAGATCATGGATCTTCTTCAACGTGAGAAGGATAATTATGAAGCAATCGGACTATCAGAAAGCGCCATAAAATCGGTTCGATATACAATCTTCATCAAAGCAACAATAAAATTTCCCATTTCCTCATGTTTTACGTCATTATAGGCCATTGGAGCGGTGAACATGGATTCGTTGCGGAAGGATCTCCAATTTCTGGTTAATGAGGGCCATATATATAATACTACAGATGATGAACATTATGCCCTTATTGATTGAGTATTCTCCTCTTTTCACTGGTCTCATTGTCGGTTAATTGTATGTTACATGTTAAGCGATTCTAATGAAGAGCATTTTCTGCAGACAATTACAATACAGGTCGTCGTTCTAAAGTTTTTCTCTGCAATCTCCTGGGACCATTTGCAAGTTCTGTTTCAAATTTCTCTCTAATCCATCTGCTGAACGATAAGAAAATTTGTAGCCTGTTTATCGTGGGTGAACAGGGATCCAAGTTACCATGTCGGCCAGTAATCAGTAAAAGTAACAGTTCATCCTGTTAGTGCTTTTGTTCCCTTGAGAAGCTTTTCTGCTCATCGCTTCCACTGTTCTTTTTACGCAGTACGTTGAATCAAATTTTGAGAAATAAGGGGCAGTAAGTTTGTTCAAACTCTGGCACTTACGCTGTGTTGATCTGTCCCAAGATTGATCTCTTGAAAATGGAAGAGCAGAAATTACGGAATT